CGCTCTTGTTGTGCTGTCGTGATAAATCTGTGTTGAACTTATATTGACAACAGCTTTATATATGTGTACATGTTTGTACTACTTTAATGAGATGTTTTACTAGGAGTATCAAGGGAGTATACATACCACCTAGTGTACCCAAAAAGGGTGATGGTCCCTATTGCGGTTAGGACCAAATTTTTGCCATCGACGACTGACCTGATGTCGTGGGCTGAAGCTGAACCTCAGCATTCTGCGTTGTTGCTTGGTTTAATAATGGTTGACGCTTCGATCCCATATTCTCTTTCGACTACAAATGGCAGATGAAGTTGGGATTCGTTCTTCGAACCCTCTTATTGCGCCGAGAGTGGCAGAGTTGTTCTAACCTCTGCATTAAGATAGGTGAATTCACCATGTATAGCCGCTCGATCTAAACTTACGATGCTAGGGTTGGGACAGACTAGGTCAGAGTTTGTGCATGCGAGAGCTTGTTTGTGGAGGAGGATCAAGTGGGCCTCCATCTCGCGTACCCATTGCAGGAGTAGCGCAAAAAGGAATATTGTGTATTATTGGGCAACATTTCAGTCGCAAAGCTCCTATATGGCTCATAGAATGTCACATAAGGAGACATCACCCACGAGACCAGAGGCAACTGGAATGTAAGCACGACACAAGGTAGGGCCATCAATAACGATATCACTCGGAAGATCCGTCGTTTTAAGGAGGGTTGGGTCGCTGGCTTGTTGAGTGGGACGACTGATACTCACCAGGGTGGATGGGACGATATTTGGCTCTTGGACTCAAACACGATCCACGACGATGTTAACAGCCACTATCACTTTCCTAGCCAAACTCAAGATATCTATGGCTTACTAGTACACGAGAGGTATTGCATTGACCAGTGTTGACGGACAGGCTCTGACAGACTGATCAATTACGACGAGATATACCCAGCCGTCGTATAATTCCACGAAATACAAACTCTAAAGAATCCCCTATCGTTCAAGCAGTCGACCTTTGTCAAGTCCAGACTGTGACCCAGACCCTCCCCATTCACAGCGCTTGCGTCCCCATACAGAGTCGTCCATACACAACCGACCCGACGACTGAAAGGCGACCGTCAACTGTATGGGAAAACATCAATACGCTCATGGAAAATCCCTGGGAGTTGTCTGTGCCTCACTGGCATCGGGTGCAGATGGAACGGAAAGACTCGGAAAGTCGACTCATTTGATAGGGACCAGAAAAAGGACCTGATAGAGGCTATATAGGAGGGCTGGATGGAGCTCCAAGTCCTTTGCTGACTTTTTCTCCACTTCACCCTCCCCCTTGGATGGCGGTCTTCCCTTCCCAGGCTGGGATGAGTGGCTGACAGATGGCTAATACATCGACTGAATCATCAAGGGAAACGCATCCGTCGACATCAGACATATCAGTCCAAATGGGTCTTTATTCCAAGGCTGAGACGGATTTCGATCAGGCCGTAATACCACGACTCACATTCAACGAGAAAGGTTTGTTATTAACGGTCGTTCCACACATCCGGGGCGCGGTGCATAACGAACACGTTCGACAACACCGTTCTGTCAGTTCACCGTTCGAACAATAGACCGACATGTTCGCCAAAGTCTGTTTGTTCGGTGACCGAAGAAGCGAAGTTGCAGGACATGCCGAATTAGGGTAGAGTGTTTTCCACGAACATGTGCTCAACGACGGTCGCAGCGTCCAAAGGAATAGCTAACCACAGTCATGTATGTCTAGGAAAATAGTGTACAATAAATCTATTTATTTCCCCCTTCCATACGCTAACCTCTGAGTTGGTATATCCCCATCCGACTTTGCGCAGGGTTCAAGACCTACCGGCTAGGGAAGTGTCGATGGCCGCGTTTCGATCTTATTCGGTGACAAAGCAGACCGGCACAGAGACTCTTGGATTGCATCCGCCTATCATGAGTCTATTCGCAGCTTGAACGGGGACGCTCTTTATTGTTGACGTTTTGACGTATATTCTCCCCCTCCCACTCTTATCCTAACAGTTGACTTCCACCCATCCTGTTTGGCCCATTTTTTTCTCCATCATCCATCAACATCGCAACCCGTATTGCCTACGATCAAAGGGTCTCTTCGAACCACGGCACGCGGCTTTCGTCGTCTCCGTCTCCCACACAAGTGGGGGGTCTCAGCCTAGCCTTAAACGCAGGGACGACACAAGCAGCGACAAGTTTCGAGTCCAACTCGGAAACCACCAATACTGGACAATGTTTTTACGGTCTTTGATATGTATCCTGGCAATTTGGACGACGTGCTGCTACGCTCAGAACGTCACCTTGGCTAGCAATGCGAGCAACTCCATCATCTTCCCAAGAGAGCACCAAGTGGCGTGGCGAACCTTGTCCAACGGAGTACATCTAGTTGGTATGTTGAATGGATTCCACACTTGTGTCCGTTGGGAGCAGAGCTTCTATTGGCAATTTGCCAATCGTTCTGCGGGTTCTCCGAGCCACTGCACTACTCTTACGCCCTCTTACTGAGTTCGAATCGCGATGAATTTGCTAATTATTCGATCATTACCTACAGGTGCCTCTGTTCTCTCCTACTGCTTATCTCGAAGAACGGATGAACTCTCTACCAGACGTACGCCTCCTATTGTTACCTAATCAACACCAAGTGTCTAACTCGATTTTGACTCGAATAATAGGCCTTTCGGCACTTCCTTTGGCGCGGTGGCTCGTGATCCTGATTTTTGTGGATTCCTGGCTATTCATCTTCACGGCCGGACTGCTGATCTCTGGCGTCGGCCTCTCGCTTAACGACTATGCCTGCTCAGCAGGAGTCTTTTTGTGCATTGTTCTCTATGCAATTTCCAAGTTGCTCATTTACTGGTTCTTGGGTACGTGGGATCTTCTTGTCTTCGCTACTGCCAACCTCCATGACGTTGACCTTGTGGCCCAAAATCTTTCCGGCTTCCCAATCCAACAGTGGAGAAGGTCCACCTCGTCCACCCACACCCTTCCAACTCGCGCATCAAGTCGCCCGCATATCGCCTCTGCATCCTCTTTGTATTTGGGTATGCTGTCGTAATCGTGTTGATGATCAAGAACCGCATCGCGTTCATTCGAGACGGGAACCAGCAGATCCCTCATCGTGCCGACCATATCAGCCGCGGCACTGACCGGGCATGTGTAATCGGCTTGGGAGCAGCTGCGTGCGTCCTCTTCTTTTTCACAGAAGTCTGCTGTCAACCTGTGACTAATATGAGGTTGGAAAACAGCTCATTGTCCCTGCTAGTCTATGATCTTATATTGAATGTATTCTTTACATGGTAAGCACACGTTTTGTTTTATCTGTCTCTGGTGGAGTACTCTTCCCGCTCTGATCACGCGCTCCGCGACCTGTACAAATATAGCATGTTTTTGTATCCCGTGTACAACTCCAAGAACCCTACTCCCCGCCTAAAGACGGTCGCCAAGAGGACATTAGGGTGAG